AATGATGGAAACAGTTAAAAAGATGGAATCCATTAAACAGATTCAGATATCCAGGAGACTAAAAATTTCACTGCAAGTATATGCAACAGAATGTACCAATGTGAGGGCAGAATATAAGATACAGAAGAGACAGGACTGTAGCTAGGGATCACAAACAGAAAGGTTTTTTTTTTTTATTTTTTTTTTTTATCTTTTTCCTTTTCATCGGTACCGGGGATCGAACTCACGACTGCCTGCTTTCAAGGCAGGCGCTTATGCCGCTGAGCTAAATCCCCAGCCCCTAAACAGAAAGGTTTTTAAAAAATAATAAGGGACCATGAAAAATCTATCTAACAGCTGCTAGATGATGCAAAGAAGAATGACATAAAAATGGAGTCAATTAAAAAAGAAATGGTACAAACAACATAAAAAAAAAGCCTCTTCACAGAAGCCATGGCAGAAAACTTCCCAAATCAGGATAAAAAACTTGACACACAGATAAGTGAGGCTAGTAGAACTAGTGATGAAAAAAAATCTACACCCGGGGGCTGGGGATTTAGCTCGGCAGCATAAGCACCTGCCTTGCAAGCAGGCGCTCATGAGTTCAATCCCCGGTACGGATAAAAAAGACAAAAAAAAAAAAAAAAAAAAAAAAAATCTACACCCAGGCATATAATAGTCAAGATTTCAGAAATTCAACACAAGAATAGAGTCTTAAAAGCTGTTAAAGAAAAGAAACCATCACCTATAAAGGAAAGCCCATCAGAATTACACAGACTTCTCAACACAAACACTCCAATCAAGGAGAGTTTGGAAAGAGGTATTTTAAGCCCTAAAAGAAAGCAACCTCCAACCCAGATTGATGTATCTTGCAACACTTATCTTTCAAAACTGATGGAGAAATAAGATACCTGCATGAGAAAGAACACCTAAGAACAATTCAAGAGGAAGAGATACCAATCATAAATATACATGCATGAAATACCAGTGCATTCAATATAGTGGACATGAAAAACAAAATAAGCCCTAATATAATAGTAATGGGGGATTAAATACCCACTATCACAAATAGACAACTAGTCAAAAAAATCAATAAAGAAATATCAGAGCTAAACCAAACTTTTAAACAAATGGACATAGTAGATGTCTACAGAATATTCCATTCTGCCACATCACAATACATTCTTCTCAGCTGCACATACGACAGTCTTCAAACAGACCACATACTAGCCCACAGAACATGCTTAAGTAAATGCAAAGAGACTGAAATTATCCATGCATATTATCAGACCATAATGCAATGAAATTGGAAATCAATGGCAAAAGAAACAAGAACTTCATAAACATGTGAAAATTAAATAACACCCTTCTAAATAATCAATGGGTCAGAGATAAAAATAAAGAAGAAATCAATTTCTACAGTTAAATGATAATGCCAATACAAGCAGTAAATTCTCATATCAGAAAAACAGAGCAAGCTCAAATAAACAACCTAATGTTGAACTTCAATCTTCTAGAAAAATCAAGCCCAAAGTTCATATGAGGGATGAAATTATAAACAGCAGGAATCAATACAACTGAGACTAAGAAACAATGAAAAGAGTCAGTGCATCTAAGAGTTGGTTCTTTGAAAGATTACATAAATCAACAAACACCTAGCCAATCTTATCCAAAAAAGATTCAAACCCATGCAATTAGGAATGAAAAGGGTGAAATCACAACAGATCCCGCAACAATCCAGAAGACTGCCAATATCTACTACAAGAACCAATATTCTAATAAGATGGAAAACACAGAAGAAATGAACAGATTCCTAGATACACATGAATTACCAAAGCTGAATCAAGAAGATATATGAAATTAAAGATGTAATTAAAAACCTACCAACAAAGAAAAACCAAAGTTCTGACAGATTCACTGCCTGAATTTTAAAAGAAATTAAGAGAAGACCTCATGCCACTACTTCTCAAACTCTTTAATGAAATTTAAAGGGAAACAATATTCCCAAATTCATTCCTGGAAGCAGGCATTACTCTAATACCAAAAACAGAGAAGGATCCAACCAAAAAAGAGAACTACAGGCCAATCTCCATAATGAACAGAGATGCAAAAATTCTCAATCAGATGCTGGCAAAGAGCACGCAGCAAATCTCAAGATTATAGGCCATGATCAAGTAGGATACATACCAAGGATGCAGAGATAGTTCAATGTACACGTCAATAAATGTGGGGCTGGGGATTTAGCTCAGCGGCATAAGCACCTGCCTTGCAAGCAGGCAGTTGTGAGTTCGATCCCCGGTACCGATAAAAAGAAAAAGACCAAAAAAAAAAAAAAAAAAAAAAAAAGTAATATACCATATTAACACAGACAAAAAAACCATATGATCATCTCAATAGATGCAGAACAAGCATTTGACGAAGTCCATTCATAATAAAAACCTTACAGAAGACTGGAACAGATGGTCTTTATCTCAATCTGATAAAAGCCATCTATAACAAAACCAACAACCAATATCATACTAACTGGACAAAAGCTGAAAGCTTTCACTCTAAAATCAGGAACAAGACATGGATGTACACTGTCTTCACTCCTATTCAATACTGTTCTGGAAACATTTGCCAGAGCCATTAGAAAAAAAAAAATAAAATAAAATAAAGATAGGAAGAAATTAAATTATCAGTATTTGCAGATGACATGATACTTTACATAGAAGATCCCAGAAACTCCACCAAAAGAACTCTAGATTTAATAACCAAATTTAGTAGCATAGATGGATAAAAGTCAATACTGGAACATTAATAGTCTCCCTGGACACTAATAAACTCACTGAGAGAGAACTTAGGGAAACACCTCTTACAACAGCATCCAAAAAAAAAAAAAAATCCAGGAATCAATCTAAAGGAAGTAAAAGACCTATACATTGAAAACTACAGTACCCTGAAAAAGGAGACTAAAGGGGTATCAGAAAATGCAAAGATATCCCTTGTTCTAGGATAGGAAGAAACAATTTGGTGAAAATGGCCATAGTTCCAAAATTACAACACAGACAATGCAATCAAAATATCACTAGCATATCTTACATATTTCGAGAAAATAATCGAAAATTCATTTGGAATCAGAAGAGCCCTATATTAGCAAAAGCAATTCTAGGCAACGAAGGCAGGTAGGTGGCATTACAATCCCTGAGTTGATTATTTCCTATATTGAAAACAATCATGGTGCTGGCAAAACAAAACAAAACAAAACAAACAAATGCCAGGATCAATGGAACAGATGAGAAGACAATGCAGAGACAACTCCAAACACATTCTCCTACCTTATTTTTGACAAAGGAAGCAAATACCTTCAATGGAAGATAGCCTCTTGAAATAAATGGAGCGGGAAAAACTGGCTTTCCATATGTTGAAGATTAAAACTAGTTGTGTATCTTTCACCATGCACTAAAATTGAAATAGATTATTAAAACAAAAACACTAAATCTTTTAGAAGACAGAATAGGCAGAACTTCTGAAAACATTGGTGTAGGCAGACATTATGAACACATTATGAACAAAACCCTGACCACGCAGGAAATACCACAAAGAAGCAACAACTAGGATCTCATCCTATGAAAAGCTTTTGCACAGCAAAAGTAACCACCAACAGAGTGAAGAGACAACTCAGAGAGTGGGAGAACATTTTTTCCAGGTGTTCCTGAGACAAAGGAGTAATATCCAGAATATATAAAGAACTAAAAAAAATTAGATTCCTCAAATATAAAGACTCAATCCAAAAATGGGAATCTGAAATGAATAGACACTTTTCAGATGAAGAATACAAATGGAAAATATAAGAAAAAATGTTCAACACCACACAGCAAAGCCTTTTTCCCAATAAGTAACCATGTAAAACAGGTGATTCTGGGGCTGGGGATTTAGCTCAGCAGCATAAGCACCTGCCTTGCAAGCAGGCGGTCTGGTACCAATAAAAAAAAAATAAAAAAAATAAAAAACAGGTGATTCTTTCTGCCTAATCCACTAAGTGGAAATACCTTTTTGCAGTTTTGTTGTAAAGATTAAGCACAATATCTACTAACCTCAGAACCCACAAAAAGCAACTGCTCAATAGATCATTTTGAGAGTCTGGTATCTTATATTTTTATTTTTGGCTTTTTGGAACAGGATCTTGCTAAATAGTTCAAACTGCTCTTGAATTTGAGACTCTTATGCATTGGCCACCTAAGTACTAGGATTACAGGCATGCACCACCACATCCATCAAACTGAAAATACAAACTTAAGTATGATCTATTTTATTGGGGACTGACTCCCAGAAGCACAGAGCTACATTCCTTTATTTATTTGTCTGAGTCAGATAAATAAATAAATTGCCTGTGTTGACCTTATAATTCTTCTGCATCAGTTTCCCAAATACTTGGGATTAAGGTGGGTGCCACCTTGTCTGGTTTAGAGCTGCATTTTACACAAGTTTTAGAATTTCAACTTCCTGATCTAGCTGAAAGGAGTTATTTATTTTTTTATTGTGGGAGCTATGTCTAGGAGCTTTAAATTCCTGCAAAAAATGTTCACCTGATAGGCATGAGGGTATGGTGTGGATTAACAAGATCAATAAAAGTACAGTATAAAGTAACAATCATGGTGATCAGAAAACAATAGACCAAGAGCCCATAAAAAGGTAGCCTGCTGGTAGAGAGGGCTTGACTCAGGTTGGCAACCTTAAATATCCCTTGGCATTCATTACATAAATGTTTTTCTCTAACAGCTTGGATGGAAAAATAGAAACAATAAAGCAGTGATACAAAAAGGAGGTTAAGGGGAAGAAAATGAAGTGGGGTGATATGTTATTTAGGTTCTTGAACACAGAACTAATTCCCTCAAGGAGGAAGGCAATACTGAAAAAAGAATTATAGAGGCTGCAATTACAAGTCACTAAAATATAGTGAGAAGAATGTGGCTGAATTGATGAGATTTTTGACAAGAAGTGAGTGAAATATTGAGGTAGCATTAAAAAGGAGCCACAGATTTGTTTTTATTCTTTTAATAAACACCACCATCTACTTTTCACTTTGATTTGACTTACCCAAATCTGACTATACTGTAGTTTCCCCAGTTTTGACTGCTCCAATGACAAGAACACCTTCTTATTTACTTAAAACATTTTAGTGTGATCCCAGGAAGACAGAAAATACTAAGAAACTAACCTGAAGAAAAGATTGCGATTACAGAACATCCCAATTCTCACAGGTTTTCTCTGTGTACTGTGGCCATTGACTTCCTAAGAAGCAATGTCTAAAAGCCCTATGGAATTTTTGGAGTTTTTTTTTTTTTCTCCCTTCTGTTGTTGGTAACACCTTCTTTCCATTGATCCAACGGAATTCTTTTTGCAAGACACAGTCTGGGAAAAATAGTTATACCCCAATGCATACTTGACTAAGTTATAAATACTCAAAGACAGAGTGATTTCTCATTTTATCTGTCATTTGAGCAGCGACTAACTTCTTTTTTTTTTTTTTTCTTTTGGTACTGGCAATTGAACTCATGACCTCGCACTTGCAAAGCAGGCAAGTATGCCATTGAGCTAAATCTCCGGTCCTAACTTCTTGCTGCTACTACAACTTGTAAATTGTACCCACAGACCTGCTCTAATCAGATGCCTGAGGTTGTCCTTTTAGATATAGAAGGCAATTTCTCAGCTTCTAAGAGGTGAAGCCTGTAGATATGCACCAAATGACAAAACAAAGGTTCCCTGGTCATCATTTAAACCAAACAGCAAAAACTGGGTTTATTGGCTCCAGAAAAGGAGCAACAGTACCCCTCGATCTCTCTGTCCTCGATCTCTCAAGTCCATGGTCCACTGGGTCCTTTCAGTACCTTCCCTCCTAGGGTTAGGGTTGGCTAACTGCTTGGTGGTGAGGCTGTGGGCTGTTCTGTAGTAACACCTGGCACAGCCGAGGCAGCCTCGTAGTCTGCTATGCGGCGCTGTACCAGGGCAGGCATGAGCTGCACATAAGCGGCCATGAGGCGGTGATTGGAATGGATCAGCTTCCCAGCACAACTATGCAGGCAGGCCTCCTGGAAGGAAAACAAGGTGGAAGTAAAAGTCAAAAGTGTTCTTTTTTTTTTTTTTTTTGTCTTTTTCGTTTTTATTGGTACCAGGGATCGAACTCACGACTGCCTGCTTGCAAGGCAGGCACTTATGCCGCTGAGCTAAATCCCCAGCCCAAAAGTGTTCTTTCAAACTCGCTTCTTCCTTCCCCATTCCCAATCTAGGGATGAGGTCACGGAAAAGCCAGGGTCAGAGGTAGTGGCACTGGGGGTTGGTGGAAACACGCCACCGTCAGTTCTGGGGCTCAAAGGTGATCTCATTGCACAAACCCCCACCTCCTCCGTGTCCAGAGCTCGGTGATGCAGGCTGGGCACACAGCGCTGGAAGCAGAATTCGGTCATCCGATTGTAGACCAACAGGAAGTCTCGTAACTGGGAGAGAAGCGGACCAAGAATTCAACTATAAGAGCTTCACTCCATCCTTCAACTCAAGATCCCGCCGCCGATGATTCCCAAGACCGCGCGCCACAACCCGTGTCCCCAGCTGTAGAATCTCTGGCCTTATGGGGTTTTCACCGTGGAAACGTCTGGCCGTCAAACAACTGAACTCTCACTCACGTTTCTCAGTTGCTGTTGCTGCTGCTGTTGCTGCTGCTCCATGACGCCGCCACGCTGAAACGTCACTTCCCTTACAGCTTCTCGATACCGCCCCGGAAGTAACCCCTCCACTCTCCAAGGACTGACGGCTTAGTTCCAGGATCGTTCGGCCCATTTTGGTTACGTCACGTCCGCCCTTATAATCTGCGACGTGGCCGGCTTCTTCTGCCCAGAGAGGACGTCACTTCCGCCGAGTCCCTGACCTGCTGCTAGGATCGCGACGGGAACTGGAACCTGAGGTCCCCGCGCCGTCCGGGCCTGGCGCCCAGAGGGGAAGAACGGCCCGGCCGAGGTATGAGAGACTTACTTGGATGAGGGGAAGTTGAAGTCATGAACCTGGCCTTAGGGCAAAATGTCCGTGGGTCTTGGGCAAGGATGAGGACACACCTGATGCCCAGGTGTATGGGGGCGGGGAGGAAGCAGGAATTCACACCTGGAAGACGTAACTGACTTTGGAAAAGATCGCCTAGATTCTGGGGAAGACAGGCTTTTATTAGACTCCAGGAACATACACCAGTCGATACAACTAAGGCCTAATAAGGAGGGCTGTACAAAGAGGAGGTGCTTGAGATGGAGGAAGGGGAGACCCGCCAGACGAAGTGGGTTAGGAAACACCGAGGAATGCAGAAGCTCAAGCATTGGAGAACATGACTGAATGCTGTGTGAGCACCTGAGCCCCAGAAAGGGCCTGGTCTCCTGATGGGAGTAAACACACCTGCGTGGGGATAAATTCCAAAACAGCACAGATTTTTATCTCTCTTGTTTACTGCTGTATTCCTATTGACTTAGTGCCTGACACATAGTAGGTACTCACCAAATACCAGTGGAATGCATGAATGAATACTAAAGGTGGGGTTGGGGATGGTGAGAATATACCTGAGGCTTACATGTGCATATGGAGGGGAGAAAGACATATATCTGAGCCCCCAGGACACTCAAGTCCTGAGACAACCTCTGAAGCCTTAGAAATAGCAGGGGAGGTGTCCTTCTTTTAGAGTGCTGGCCAGTTTCCAAAACTGCCTGCTTTGGCCTTTGCAGGGTGCTAGGGTGGAGACTGCCCCTTCCCTAGCCATGACGGACGGGATCCTAGGGAAGGCAGCTACAATGGAGATCCCTATCCATGGGAATGGTGAAGCTGGGCAGCTTCCTGAAGATGATGGGCTGGAGCAGGTGCTTCTGTTTGATGTTTCTCGTTGTCTTTTGGGAGTCCAGTGTATAAATCCTGGCCTCTTACTCCCACTCCATTCCAGTTACCTAAGTTACCTAATTCCCTTTATTCATTATGTATGTGTTTGTGTGTGTGTGTGTGTGTGCATGTGTGCTTGCTTGCTCTCCTACCTTCTCCCTCTTTCCCTGCCTACCCCCGCATCTAAGCTTGTTGCCACCCCAAAATGTTTTAGCTTCCTATATATTCCTGAAGTACCTTCTTCCTCCTTTCTCTGGTCTCTAGGACCTCCAGCAGGTGATGGTGTCAGGACCCAACCTCAATGAAACCAGCATTGTTTCTGGTGGCTATGGGGGCTCTGGTGACGGACTCATCCCAACAGGTATGAATGATCAGAGACAGAAGATCTCAGTGGAGAGGGAGACTGGGGTGGTTTGGAGAAGCATCCAGGAACATCTGAATTGTGCCTAGAAATCTTAAGAACTTCTGCTAGTATGGACCCCATGAACTCTCCATGGCCCAATGCCAGTGTCCAGGGTTTTCTATTTGCTTCTTTCTTCCCTTGACCCCTGATATGGCCATTTTTCTTTTACCTGCTGCTACCACCCAACACAGTACCTGTAGTTCACAGGAGTTTTCCTGTTCTGAAGCTTGAGACTGATTTGGAACACTGGACTTCCCAGCATTTTACTTTAGAGGAACAAATAGCCCTGAATCTCCCAGATTAGGATTCTCTATGGGAATGTCAACCAGGTTTACTATTATTATCAGCATCCACCATCCTTGACTCCCCTGCAACGTAGTATATATTTTTTTTGTTTCCTCTGCCTCTGTATACCAGTATCCCCCCAATCCCCAGTATAAGAAGGCTAAGTATTGAGATTTGACATCAGAGCACAAGATCCTAATTTCTCCTACGGTAGGTATAGGACAATCTAATCATCTCTACCTTTTCCCCTCTGGGGAAATCATTTCATGTACTCAGGTGCTAGGCAGGAAATATGGGTGGGGCCACAGAGGTAACTGGTTGTATCTGAGAGAGGCTGGTGTCAAGAACTTGGTCCTTTAGGATCTGGCCGCCATCCATCTCACAGCACCACTCCTGCTGGCCCTGGAGATGAGGTAGCTCGGGGCATCGCTGGAGAGAAGTTTGACATCGTCAAGAAATGGGGCATCAACACATATAAGGTGGGATTTAAGCACCTCTCCCTTTCTCAAAACTCGCCCTGGGTAACCTTTTCCCTTTTCTCCAGAACCTAATAGCCAATCTATGGCTAAGACTAGGAGACTAGGGGTGCTGGAATAGGTACTTGGTGAGGTACAGAGTCTAGATTCTCTGACCTGTTCCTCTACCCCCCAATTAGTGCACAAAACAACTGTTATCAGAGCGATTTGGCCGAGGCTCTCGGACTGTGGACCTGGAGCTAGAACTGCAGATCGAGTTGCTCCGTGAGACGAAGCGCAAGTATGAAAGTGTCCTGCAGCTGGGCCGGGCACTGACAGCCCACCTCTACAGCCTGCTGCAGACCCAGCATGCACTAGGTGACGCCTTTGCTGATCTCAGCCAGAAGTCCCCAGAACTTCAGGTGCCTCAGCCAGAGCAAAGAGGGTGGAGGGACTGGGTCTGGGCCCTTACAAACAGTCACTCCTCAGACTCCTTCCCTCCCTCCCTCCTGCAGCCCACAGGGAGAATCCCTCAAGGGTGGGCCCAGCCCTGCCCCCAGCAGCACTCATGTGCGAAGGCAATTTAAGGGTTTGTACAGAGGTCCAGAAGTTGGAGGGAGTGGGGATGGGAGAAGGGGCACACCAAGTGTCTGACAATTGCCCTTCTGTACATTATAGAGAATACTTCAGGTACTAGGGCTAATCAGAGCCCCTCCTCTGCCTGCTACACCAGTTCTCCCTATATCAGTCTTTGAATTTACCTAAAAACACCCCTGCCTGACATTTCTTACCTCTGGCATCCCCAGGGCCCAAACTAGTTTCCTGGCTAAGAGAGCCTTGCTAGAGGCAGTCCTTGGTGGTTTTACTTTTGATGACTTTTTCCTCTCCAGGAAGGAGGAGAATGAAGGGACTGTTATTCAAGGCCTGTCCTTCCCTTTTTCCCTCAGGAAGAATTTGGCTATAATGCAGAGACGCAGAAGCTTCTGTGCAAGAACGGGGAGACGCTGCTAGGGGCTGTTAACTTCTTTGTCTCTAGCATCAACACGCTGGTCACCAAGACCATGGAAGACACACTCATGACTGTTAAACAGTATGAGGCTGCCAGGTGTGGGACTGGCAGGGCCTAAGGTTTGGGGAGTTGGCTGATATGGGTGGAAATTCAGGCATGAGGGGCAGTTCAGGAAGGAAAGCAGAACTTGTATTGATAAAAGGGGTGGAGACCAGCCTTTATCACCCCTTCTCAGGCTGGAATATGATGCCTACCGAACAGACTTAGAGGAGCTGAGCCTAGGCCCCCGGGATGCAGGGACCCGTGGTCGACTTGAGAGCGCACAGGCCACCTTCCAGGCCCATCGGGACAAGTATGAGAAGCTTCGGGGAGATGTGGCCATCAAGCTCAAGTTCCTGGAAGAAAACAAGGTGCCGACCCCATCCCTTTGTTTCTAAATCACCTTTCCCTTGACACTCATTATCGCATGGGGAGGTGCAGCCTGACTAGGGAGTGGGGTGTTCCCCAGCCCAGTCAACCCCTAAACCTATTTAAGTCTCTTTCCGTCCAATCACTGCCCCTTTTCTGTTGGAGGATTTCTCAGAAACATAAACTGGGAAAAATCGTGCCCCTAGCTGGGGTACCAACCCTAGGCCCAGAAAATCAAATCAGGCTTTTTCCATCAGGTTGACCCTTCTCCTTTGATTCCCTGGGTGAGGTTCACTCCCTACCCCAAGAGTACCATGAGAGCAGAGACCACATATCCCTGGTCTATACTCAGGCTCAGAGCTCTCAAAAAGGGCACCTGAGTCCAGCCTTAGCTGACCCTGCTGGACCCCCAGATCAAGGTGATGCACAAGCAGCTGCTGCTCTTCCACAATGCGGTGTCAGCCTACTTTGCTGGGAACCAGAAACAACTGGAGCAGACCCTACAGCAGTTCAACATCAAGCTGCGTCGTCCAGGAGCTGAGAAGCCCTCCTGGCTAGAGGAGCAGTGAGCTACTTCCAGCCCATCTTGGCTATCAAGAAGGACACTGGGAAGGGCAGCCCCAGTGGAGGAGATTGGACATGGGACATCCCTTGCCATTTGCCCTCTGGCTTGGGCTCCCTTTCCCTTGCTGGGATCTGATGGAAGTTTGGCCCGTACTACTGTGGTATGAAGAGGGCCTTTAGGTCCAGAAGCTGCTGCCCTGTCTTTCATTTTTGTGGCCACTGGGCTTCATTCCCAGATCTTTTCCTTCCACTCCACAACCAAAAGCTATGACAGAACCACTCCCTGGCCAATGGCATCACTCCTCAGGCCTATCCCCAGCTCCTGGGGTGTACCCCCTTGACCAATGACAGAGCCTCAAAAGGCCTTGTCAGCCAATGGCAGCTCTACTGGGGCTCCTTTGGGCCAACGATGTTGCCTCCAATACCCTTTGTCCCTCCTCTATGCGTGCCCACTGCAGAGAAGGGGACTGGGACCAAAGCAGGTGGGGATAATGGGGAGCTCCATTTCTGGCCGGCATCTGACTGGGCCTCCTCTCACCCACCCACCCAGTTTAATTGTGCGTAGAACCCAGGAAGATTGGGATCTAGCACTAGGAATAAACCTTTCATAAAAGCAGGCCCAGTGAGGTCAATTTGTGGGGGACAATATAGGAGGGTGGGCTGGGTGGACTCAGTCTAATTAAACACCCAAATCCTATGGAGTCAGAAGAGCTGGGGCTAGGAATCTACAGTCAGAGGTTTCAGAATCTGAAGTCTTGATCCCCTTCAACCCCAACTGGAGCCAAAGCTTTACCCTACAAAGCACACCAAGAAGAAAGCTGTGGATCTTCAGGACATAAGATTCAGGGAAAGTTGGAAGTGCAGACCTTCATCATTCATTGACTCTTAAAAGCAAATATTTACTGAGTGCTTTTATTTGCCAGGTTCTGCGTTGGGCCCTAGGGAAACATCAGTGAATAAAACACAGTCCCTGCCCACAGTGCTTAAGGCCTAGTGAGGGATAGAGACAAGTAACTAAGCAACTACTTACTGTATAGTGATAAGTACTGGGATATAGAAGCACCATGTGCTAAGGGAGAGTGGAGGAGGGGCATCTAGGTTAGACCGTAGAGATGTGGAAGTCAACTTGAAAGTAGAGACTTAGGGGCCGGCTATTTAGCTCAGCAGCGTACACGCCTGCCTTGCAAGCAGGCAGTTGTGAGTTTGATCCCTGGTACCGATAAAAATGAAAAAGACAAAAAAAAAATTTAAAAAAGGTAGAGACTTAAAGATTGGGTGACAACTAGGGTAAGATATGTGAAGACAATAGTAATTGAGTTTGGAATTAAAAAGTGAAGTAGGCATGGTAAGAGACTGTAGGTTAAAGACGCCCTAAAGAGAGCTATAAAACCTTTTCAGCCAAAAGTGTGACAGCATAAAAAATCTAGAGTTGAGAAAATAGTTCTGAGGCTTAAAATAGTGTAGTACAGACTCCACTGCCTTTCTGGGGAGTCTGGTGACCTTTGCTCCCAACTTCACATGGGAGCACCCAGGGGTGGCAGCCAGAACTCAGGTGGATGAGACAGGCAGTTACTGTGGTTCCTCCTGCGTCAGAGTTGAGCCCAAACCTGAACCTCATGGGAGAAAACTCCCAAAGCAGTTTGGTTTCATTGAGGTACAGGTGTCGGCACATATGTTGTCCCTTGGCCAGACTGGGGACGCTTCTGAACGTTCTCTCCATCTCTGGAGGACGGGGAAAGGGGTAGCCAGTCAGCAGGTGCTCAGTATTGGGATGCACAGAAGCATCCGGTTCTTGTCATGGACACTGGAACTCCAGAAAGGCTCCCTGGGCTTTACTGAGCTGCAGTCACTGGACTGGTGCCAGACCATTAGGGGGGTCCTCATAGAAGGCTACTAGGGATTTTTTTTTCCATCCTAAGGGCACTCAGATCTCCAAATGACAGGAAGCACGACCTAAGGGCAGGGCCAAAATCTGGTTTCACCACTTCCTAGCTGAGTGATCTGGGTTAACATCCTGGTTTTTTTTCTTGTAAAACGGCTAGTAAAAGAAGCTATTTAACTAAGGTTATGACTATTAGGATAATGTATGTAGAGTGACTGGTTATTATATCTGTACATAATTAGCGCTCAGAACCTGTTATAATTGTTGTTATCTTTCACCAGGGTTGCTTTTCCGTAACGCATTGATACTGAAGTTTGCTCTGGGTCTGTGGTGTGAGGAAGGGAGTCTGAATGGTCTGAACGGTAATTTCTCACTAAGGGGCTCCTGAGGCAACTAGCGCTGAGTCAGGTTCCCCCCTGCTCAGTGAGCCTCCCTGCCCCAGAGCTCTGAGTGTTGTCCTTTCACAGCCACAAATCCGGTGGAGCTGCTCCCTCCTGCTCAGCGGAAACCAAACTAGCAAATTCCATAGGTCGGATATCCCGCACGCCCAGAAAGCCAGCGAAGGCGCCACCAGAACACAGTCAGGGCGGCCTCCCAGGCCCCTATATCCCTGCGGCCCCAGCTGCCTTTTCTTGACGGCACCTCATCCCAGTACCTGCGACCTACCACACCGCCCTTCCCGGGAGCCCTGAGGAGCTGGCGGAGATCCGGGATCCGGCTCGCTGCGCTTCCCAGCCGCGCCGCAGAGGCAGCGCCCACGGCGCCGCAGGGGCGTCCTGGGGACGGGGCGCAGGGGCGGGGATATGGGCGGGGCCTCTGCCTCGCGGGGCGGGGAGTGGGTGGGCCTTCAGCGCCGGAGTCGCCCCCTCCCCCGGCCAGTCCGCAGCCCCGCCCCAGCCCCTCCCTCCGGCCTGTGCGGCTGGTCCGGCGGCGGCGCCGGCGCGGGGACAAGCGGAGACGCGGGACGTGGGGCGGCGCCGCGGGCAGGGCCGGGCGGACGGGCGCTGGCAGCGGGGGTAGCGCGGCGGGCCCCTCCAGTGGCCGCAGTCCGGGCCTTGCCTCCCATCCTGCTCCAGCGCCGTGAGTGCGACGGGCGGGCCCCAAGGGTGCGTTGGATCTGCCAGTGTGCCCAGATCTGGGTGCGGGTCCGAGCGGCGGTGTGTCTGTCGGAGCGTCTGTGGGTGAGGGCGTGGATGCTTTTCAAAAGCTGTTCCTGCCTGTGTCCACGTGAGGCGTGTCCCTGTCCGTGAGAGCAGCGGGGGGATTCTTCGGGCTGTGGCTGCTCACGTGAGGTCCGTGTTTGCGGGGGGAGGCGCGGGTGGATGGCTGAGGGCTCCTTTTAGGAGCGTGAGATTCAGGATCCGGCGCATGTTGGCGGAGGGTGCGGACTGCTGCGGCCGAGGGACTGGAAGGAAGGGTGGGTGGGGTTGCTGAGTGGGACTCTGGAATCTCGTGGCCCAGCTTGTCCGAAGGGTCCGTTTCTCCCGGGTGCAGTCACCACTACCCCTTGCTTCTTCCTCCACCCTCTCTGGGCACCAAAGGGTCACCAGCCAGATTGGAGGATACCCTTTCCTCCCTGGCTCTGCTCTCTGGACAGGAAGCTTCATGCAGAGACTGTCTCTTGCAGCAAAGGACCCCTCTAGTTCCCCTAGAACCTGGGCCCCGCCTAGAGGATCCTAGGCCCCACCCTGGTACTGACCTCCTCCCTTCTGGCCTTGAATTCATATCCTGGGCTGCAAACATGCAGGGACAGATGGTTGCAGGTTGGAAGGGCAGGTTGCACCCATGGGAGGTCAGTCCAACTAACGGCAGGCCCTTGGGAATGTTCCTAGGGTGGGCATCTGATGTGGACCTCAGAAACTCAGGACTGAAGATAGATCCAGGTTTTCAGGGGAAGGAGATGTAGTCTTCTTCACAGGTTTACCCCTTGCCAGTTTATCCAGCTCACCAGTGCCATTCATCCTCTAAGCAAGGTTCTGGTGTGCTGCAGAATTGGAATCAGAACTGCAGGCCTGACAGGTGCCCTGCCACTCTTGGCTTGCATGCCCCCAGTGACAGAGCACTTACTACCTTCTGCTGTGGGAAATCTTCCTTATGTTAAGTTAAGGTCTTTCTCTTTGGAACTTTATTGTTATTTTCTTGGATTTTGCCTTCATCTGATGAGTGGAAAATGCAAAGATTCAAACATGGCTCTTCTGTCACCAGCGTACACTGAGTACTTTCTCTGTGCCATCCATGTATTGCCTCAGCCATTTAGGGGACAATGGTATTCTTGCCTTTAACTTAGGCAAAGGGGCCATAGTTGGGGGTAGTGCAGCCTGTGTTCAGAAAAGCAAAACCATATGGCCAGTGTAGAGGGTGTTGAAGAGGGAGTGCCATGAGTGACTTAAACTTGGCAAACATTTATGTTGGAAAGGGAGGGCAACTCTGACTACCCTGTAACATACCTAGCTTTATGGAGGAAGCTGGCATTCAAAAAACATCAAGGTAGTGTGGAATGGAATTTAATTGTGGATACAAATCAGTCTGTTTTGGGGGCCCTTACTTGAAAGGGAGCCTCAAGATTCTCAGATTTTGAAAACAAAAAGACCCCCCTCTTCCCTAATTTACAAGTAAGGGATAGGGTAGCAACTTGCCCAGGATCTTGTGTTAATGAGCAGTGGCAGTCAGAATTAGAGCCTAAATTTCTTTTTAAACCTAGGCACATTTTAGAAACAGCATCAAGGACATAGTAACAGCTTGCATCTGAATGGTGATCAAAAAGTCAGAAGTGAAAATAGGACCAGGGTTCTGGCAGGTATGGCTAAGGTGAATGGTGATATCTTTTCTGGAAATGAGAATCACAGCAGGAAGAGGGAGTCTGGGAAAATAAATTTAGTTTTGAACTAGATCCTGTGCATCATCCAAATGGAGATGTCCAAGAGACAGTTGGATGTACAGGTCTAGGTAAGAGAACCCTTAAGCACAGGACATAAGGTTTGGGACTTTTCAGCAATTGGACAGGAACTAAAACCATGAGAAATAATGAGATTGCTTAGGCAAAATATGAGAGTGAGAGGAGAAAAGACTCTAAAACAAAACTGTAGAGCTAAATATTTAAAGAATGTGCACTGGAGGAGTGACCAAAGAGCTAAGTGAAGAACCCACGTGAATCAGATCGTGCAGACATCAACTATAACCTCCACCCTTATGAATCTTGCTCTCTTGCCTGACTAGTACGCTTGTTTTCATGTTTATGTTCCTGTATACGTTATTTTTCCAGTGTACTTATTCATCTCATATTTTCCTCTCAAAACCCAGTTCAAATATCCTTTCCTTTGGAAGCCTTCTTTATTCTCCACCAGGTTAGATACTTTCTGACATCATAGTTTGAACATCAGTATCATGGTACTTCTGCTATTGTACTTGTTATGTATTGTACTTCTGTTTCCCACGCTAGTCTAAGAACTTGAAAAAATGACAGGCAATGCATTTGATTCAACTTTGTGTCACTAGTTGCCATTTAAAGGACCTGGCTCAGAGTGTGCCCAAGGAAGTTTGATTGAATGGTTCATTCATCTACTCAGTGAAGCAGTAGTGGGAAAGATTGGTACTTTGAGTTTCATCACTTTCCTTTCCTACTAGTCTTATTCAGAGCCTTCTTAGATCTGAGGACTTTATCTGATCAACTGCTTCTTTTGTTCCAGAGGAAGCCCAACAACTGTAGCCTGTAGTGATTTCTTATTTTGCTGAGA